TATATTGCCAGAAACCTAATTCTTATTATTGCATGCCACATTGGTGTATGAACGATTTTAACTCCTCTTGCCAAAATTTAAATTTACTTTGAAATTCACTAATCACATTTTCAAATAATCAAATCCTAAAACATCATGCACATATCATTTATATAACAAACTTAAAAAAATCACAAAAATTTGTGAAATCTTTTGTTAAACTTTTTAAAATCGTTTAATTCGGGAGAAAATTTGAAATTTCCATTACCTTCAAATAATTTAAATTTTTGGAAATTCTGAATAGTTTTAAAAGTTTTTTTTATTTTTCCTTTTAATATAAAAGAACATGAAAATGCACTTTTGACATTTTCTTTTAAAATAAAAACTATTTTTCATTATGCGACACTATCGTTACAGTCATTAACAAAAAAACTTGTACTGCAATTAAAGATTCACTAATATGAAAATTTTCCATATTCATTTAAAGTTTTGAAATTATTGCGAAAACTTTTTCATTTTCAAAACCATAAACATTTTCTTTCATTTCTTGAAAATGTGAAAATTCCCTCTATTCATTCCAAAATACTTATGAAATTTTCATTAATAGTGAAATATTTTTCACGTAAAATTTCAAATTTTAATCACTTTTCACTCGTATATCAAAAATTTTTTAAATTCATAAATTTCAAGTATTTTTTTCCGAAAATTTTCATTAAAAATATTATTTTGCAATATTTACCGCATTTATTTTTTCAAAACTAGTTCATAAAATTTATGAAAATAATTCACCAAAAAACCCAAAAAATTTTGCTCCCATTTGAAACCTTAAAAAAGGAAAATTAAAAAAATTCACAAAAAAAAGTAGATTTTCATGAATTTTTTTTTCATTTTTTAACTGAATAGGACAGAAACCACAGTTAAAACAATGTGGTTTTAAGTGTAATTAGTCTAAAATATGCAAACGAACAAAAACTATAGGGCGAAGAACCACAATGTCTGTGCATACAAAGAGCGCTTAGTATAAAAATATACACGAGAATACTTACATAAAAAGTAAATAAGAAGCTTTCAAAGGTCAACAAAATGTTTTTTTTTTTACTTCTTCTTTATTTTAATTTAAAATGAAAAATCAAATGTCAAAAAGCGAAGGATATTCAAATATTCATTACTTACAGTTCCTTTTTTTGCGTATTAAAATCCGAAAATATTAAAAAATTTTCAAAAATAAAATACTTTTTTTTTGTAATTTTTGTGGAGTATTTGTTTGTACTTCTATTGCAAATAATTTTAAATTAAAATGTTTTAAAAATTTTGAAACCAATCCTCAATTCCTGCTCTCTATGTCTGATTTGTCTTAGATTATATTCAAAATTTTCAAATATGTATATTGCGCTACTCAAAAATTGTAAGGAAAATTTTCAAAAGTAATCGTTCCATAAAAATTTTTAAATTTTATTGAAAATATTTTCAAGAACTTATTTTCATCTTATACACCCAAAAATAAAAAATGCTAATTTTTACAGGGTTATTAACCTAAACAAAATATAATGAAATTTACATAATATTATAATAAAATGTACAACACACATACATACGTATATATAAAAGTCTATTATTTTCCTGTAAAAAAATTTCCATTTCTAAAATATTGAACCTTTTATAAATTTGCATACTTTTGTTAATGTTTTTTAGGTGTTTTTAGTTTGTAATTTGTTTTTCACAATCAATTAAATTTAAATTTAATAATTTTTTTGTATATAAAATACATATAATTAAATATGCATTAATTATTCACAAAATATATTTGGTTATTAATCTTAATTCCGTTCAAAATTGCAATTTTCAAGTGCCTGATTGGTTTGAAATTCAAAAGAAAAAAAAAACAATTTTAAATAACGCAAATAAAGTAATTTTATTACATTTTCAATTAAAATAAAATTTTTAAGCCAGTCTTGCACCGAATTTGGTTTGACACAACAAAGATTTTGACTCTATTAGCCATTTTTTAAGCTCCATTTACAATAAGTGTTCAAACCACTAAAGGAATAGCCAAAACCAAGCAAAACTTCACTACACTTCAATGCGTAGATGTATGCTCAAAAAGCTTATGTTTTATCCAAATTCACCGACTTTGTATATAGAATGGTCTTTCCATTTCCAAATTCATGTATGTAAGTTCATGAGTAGTTCGAATATGTAAATGGAACACAAATAGTATCAACTATAGAGCAAAATTGCAGTAAAATGAGGTTTTTAGAGAATTTCTACTAAATTTTTTATTTCCGTCTTTGTTTTTTTTTCTGAAATTCACAGATTCCATTTCACAATAAATGAGAAATTTTGACAGAATTAAATTTTATTCTTTAAATTTTAAAAGAATTAAGTACGTACACATTAATTGTTGTTTTTCAATAATTAACAAAAAAATCTATAAAAATTTTATGCTTATAATAATTAAATATTTCTAATCTTAAAATCTTAATGTTATATTCAGTAATTTGCTTACATTAAGAGAAACAAAACAAAAACACAAAACAAAAAATGAAACGCCGCAAGTTATGCAAAATTTTCATTTCTTTTCTCTTCTTTAATCTTTTTCTATCTACAATTAAAAATAAACATTAAAGTTTTTTAATAAGCAATATAAAAATATTTACAATGTTACAAACAAATAATACGACTGTATAACAATATTTTTTAAATGAAAGAAAAAACACGAAAAGAGTGTAAAGAAAAACATTAAAAAAAAAATTTAACAAATAAATTATTTTCCTTTATTATACAAACTCTTCTTTCTTAAATTATTATTAGCGTACTTAAATGAGAACTTTAATTAGTACGAAAATGAACGTAATAAATTGGTAAAAATAATTTTAACCAATTTTATTTTTTTCTTAAACTTTATTAAAGAAATGAATACCATAAATGGAAAACTTTATTAAATTAAAAAAAAAAAAAAAACAATAAAAATTATTTCGGCTTCTTTGTTTTTAATCTCGTAAATCTTAAATTAAAATTTCTGGATTTTTTATTATAATTTTGATTATAATTTTTATTGTTATTATTTTTGCATAGTAACCGTGTAGTAAACGAAATTTAAATATAAATAATAATTAATTGTCAACAAGTTACTATCGCATAAACAGAATGTGATATACACACATATGAACACATTTCAATTGTACTAAAAAATATGTGTAATATACAAATATATACACACATAATTGTATTCATTACAAATTACAATATTTCACAACAAAAATAATATACAGCACTAATATATTTTAAATATAATGTTATACAAAATTGTCCTATATGTGTAGGAACTGTCATAATATATTTATACACCCCGTTACATATATCACATTCATATATATATATATTATTTAATAACACAAGGCATTAAAATCAGATGTTTGTAAAAGAAACATATTTTACTCTTCAGTTTTCTACACAGTTTTTCTTATACTCATCATAAACTATTTTCTCTCTCTGAGAGGAGCTTTTAAAAATCAAAAATATTTTCTGTATAGCTATTACATTTTGAAGTCTGTTTTTTTTACACAAAAACGGATGCTATTCCTAGCCTATATGATTTTGTATTAAAATTTTATTAAAAACAAAAAAAAATATTATAAACCTTGGGGTTTTTTCTTTAACGTTTCTTTCTTCTGCTTTTTTCTTTAAAATTATCCTTGTTAAATATTTTAATAAAATAGGAGAACAATAACAACAAAAAAGCCAAGTTTTATACAGCAACAACAACAGTAAGCAATATGAGGAATTTTGAAAAACTTTCTCTCTCTCTCTTTATTTTTTCTTGTTTTTATTTTTAAATTTTCTCGCTCATCTTTTGTTTTGTTGTGTTGTTCTAGTATTACGAATGAAGCTGGCTGGCAACTGGTATAGCACTTTAAATCATATAGGTAGAAAATTTATTTTTTAATTTTTCAGTTTTCCTTGGATTTTCATCAGATACGGTTGATTGAGCCTTAAAGTAAACAATATTATTAAATTATATTTTTGTGTAATATATTACATCAATATTATTATATAAACATGTATGTACATGCTTGTACATGTTTGTTTGTAAAATAATTTTAAATCGTAATAAAATATTTGTTTAATTTTTTTTTTATTTTTTGTTGTTTTTTTTACTCTTATTTTACCTTAATAATATTTTGTTTGTGTGCACACATGTAGATTTAAATTTATAGACAAAAAACATATTTTAAAATAAAAAAAAAAATTGAAAATCCTTGTAAATATTTTTCATAAAATATTCACTCTATGTATACACAGATATACAATGTAATAATGTGAAACCGGAAAGTGATAAAATTTATGCTCAAAATTTATTAAATTAAAAAAAAATTAATGAAAACCAATGTGTAAGTATGTATATATGTACATATTATTGAAATGGGATTAAATTATTGGTTTTTGAAAAAGAAATAATTGAAAAAGGATTTAATGTTGTTATTACACTCTAGTTTAGTTACCATTTTAATAAAAAAAAAGTTTATGTTAAAAGACAAGTGATTTGAAGCAACAATAACACACATGAAGTTAAAAGAGAAAAGAGTATATATAACAATTTATGTAAAAACAAGAAGGGATAATGATGTCCTTGAAAATATTCAATTTTAAATTATAATATAATAATTATCGTAAATTTATAGCATATACACATATACTCGTTTATTAAGATTTTAAATGTAATAAAAATAAGTGTAATTTATTTAGAAATTAATTGTACGGTGAAAAAATTTTGTTAGTAAAAATTTATTATTAATAAAAAATTATGAAATAAATATGAAATAAATTACATAATTAAAATTTTTGGTAAATACAGAGATGTACAAAGGCAACTTATTAATAAATTAATAAATCTTGTGCCAGGTAATTTAAAAATTTAAAAATCACGTGAGAAAAATTTTTTGAATTCTTTTTTATTTTTAAAATAAAATAAAATTATTAAAATTTTTGTCTAAATAAATTTTCATTTAATGGGAGTTACGAAACAAATGAATAATAAATCTATAGTGAATTAAATTCAAAATGAATTTATGCAAATTGTGAATATTTTGAAATATAAATTAAAAATTCATACATAATTTAACAAAAAATTTCATTAAAAATAACAATATAAAATACAGATAAAAATTTAGAATCAAAAGAATAAATTAATATTACTCGTAGCATCGCATTTAAAATAAAATTTTATGCATGACTTGTAAACTTTTAAATTAAATTCATAAATTAGTTTTTAAATATTAAATTTATGACCGCACTTAATGCAGTTATTCAATATTAACTAAACACACAAATACACACTTGCAAATAATATAATTAATATTAGCATTAAAAAAAATTGAAATAATAAATTTAAATTTTATTTAAAATATGAAATGAATTAAAACAAACACAAAACTGACTTTTCTCCCTAATTTCAAAATAAAAAAAAAACAAATATTAAGGATCAAAAGAAAGGATACTTTTTCTAAAGAATTAAGAAAAAAAAAAACAATTAAAAACAAAACGGAAGAAAAAAATAACAAAGTTTAAGAATACAAGAAGAAGAAGAAAACAAAAAAAAAACCGAGAATTTTAAAAGGTAAGTGAAAGATAAAATGCAAAAAAAAATTTTTTTTTTTAAGGTATAAGGTGAAGAGATAAAATTTAATATTTTATAACTTTTCCCTTAAAAACACCAACGTAAAGGAAAAAGGAAAAATGTAAAAGTTGCAAATTTTATCAAATTTCTAAAAAAAACCAGCAATTTTGTAATTATAAAAAGTGCATAAAAATATATGAAATAAAGTTGGGTCAAACCAATGGTTTGTATTGTAGCACTTTTCCCTTCAACAAGTGAAAGTTCTGCATTTAAATACAGTTTATGTATACCTATCACACTATTAAAATTATTTTCATTCATATACAAAACTATTTCTAGGATTGCATATATTTAGGATGACGCATATATGCAGTCTTTGAAATAAAGCAAAAATTAATATAAAGAGGTAACTGAATGCTTGTTTTTAAGGGTTAATTGTGTGAGTTAAGAAAAATAATTATATTTTTTAATGTCATGGAATTTACCGTTAACTTTTTGCGGTTTCGGAAATATAGGGTGTCAAAATTCCAATTTTACAAATTTAAAGGGGCGATAACTTGAGAGGGGGTGGAGATGGAAAAAAATTTTCTTCTAACGAAATGAACTACTCGTTAATGTCTAAAAGCTCCTAAAATTTCAAGCTTCTACAGGCTGGGGTTTAAAAGAAAAAAGAAATCAAAAATTTGAAAAAAAAGGACTTTAGATAACGGTAAATTTGAACGGCCATTTTGTTTTTCTAAAGTTTAACTATAGTATACCGCGCAAGGGGAAGCAATCCGTTGCCTTTCTGCGTTTGCAAAATTTCAAAAATGCTTATGGTTTCATTGCAACAAATAGTTAAAAAAGGCCATTTTTAAGGTTTTGGGGGGGTATAACTTCTAAAGGGGGGGAGATAGGTAAAAATTTTGTTGTACAGATGTAAGTTTCTAGTAAAGATCTATGTACATATAAAATTTCAGCTTTCTATCTTCAAGGATGTGGAAGTTTTGTAAACAAAAAAAGTGTCCACGGACGGACGGACGGACGGATAGAGTGAAACTAATAAGCACTTTTTTTCACAAAATTTTTGGAAAAGTGCTAAAAACTACTTGGCAACCTCATACCACAGCACAATTTGGTCGCAAGTACTTTCAATTGATTAAATCTTAGGAAAGAGGTAAAAGAGTCGCAGCAAGATTGGAGTTATAAAGAGTCCGCCCTGGGCTAAGGCAGGCCAAGGAGTTTATGGAAGATTATGGTTAGAAGCAGTATATAAAAATAATATAAATCGGTAAAAACCAGATGAGAACGCTCACGGGTCTCCTAACGGGACATTGCTCACACAGGGCTTATTTGTAGGTTCTTTGGGGAATCGAAGGACACTTTGATGCACCCTTCTCGGTGAGTGTGGAAAATTGATTTACAGCAGAAAGGAGTTTTTGGGTCATTACGTTCTTGCAGAAAGAGGGGTCTATTCCAATAATATACTCGAATTTGTCAGAAGGGTAGGCCTCGAGGGCGCGCTTTAATAACACTGTATCTACATTATCACAAAAAATATTAAAGCTGAGGTGGTACACTTAACATTTTTATCATGCATTTCACAAAAACATTTTTATGAAATGCATGAGAAATATTGGTTTTAATTACGCTTATATTATTATTAGCTTTTTGAAGGTATACATATATTATGTATCCTGCTCTTTTGCAAACTCCGGTTTTAGTTATAATAAGTATATTTCGCAATTGTCTGCAAAATTTTAATATAATCATGGGAAATTTTATAAGTAGCAAATATTGAAATTTTGAAAATACAAAAAATTTGAAACAATTAATTTTTTATATAAATATAAAATTTCGGTAGAATAAGAAATTTTGTTTATACAAAAGTTAAACTAAGAGATTACGTCATTCACATTTATTTTGAGATAAAATCAAACAAAAAGAAAAAATTTTATACACTTATCATCTCTTGTCTAATTTTTTATTCCTTACATAATAAAATAACAATAAAAACGCCATATTTCATTTTGTTTTTTTTTTTTTTGCAAAAAAAATTTTTCACTTAGATTTTTATCTTCGAACAAGGACATAAATGATGGTTTATTTTAGAAAAAATATTAACTAATAATTCACATTCAAATTCTTTTATGGTGCTTTTGTAATATTAACATTATTTAAGGGTATAATTTTGATTACTTTTGATTACTCAATTAGATTTCGTACAAGGATGTCGATACTATTAGCGTAGATTAGCGTAGAAGCTACTTCAGTAGCCGAACCTAAACGAGAAAATACGGCGTACATTTTCGACTTATAGTTGAAACAGTAAGAAAAATTGTAAGAGTTCTTGTCAAAGGTTGCTGGTCTAATGAAGAAAATAATTTGAGTTGTAAGGCCAAAAAGTCAGTGCCCGAATTTTTTATCTGCATTTTCTTTCAGTAACTTCCATCAGAAACATGAGCTAAACGACTGATCTTATATGAAATGGATTTTATTTTAATGAATTTGGGGCCCATAGGGTCCCTAAAATTATTGTTCCTATCTAGTTTAATAATTTTATGTTGTTAATGCTATTTTTAAATCTGACATACCAATTTCTAATTAAAACTATCCAAACAAAATTAATAATACAAAATTGCATTAAAAAATTTCCTATTATTATTAACAAGATATTAATAGCCTATTCAAATACTCTGTGTTCTATATTTAAAATGAAAATCAATTAAAAATCAATAAAGGTTCAATTTAGATGAGCAAATATCATAATCACGATTAAATTATGATAACGATTTAAATAAATTAAAATTTTAATTAATGGCATTCAAAATTAATTACTTTAAAAAATAAATTATTTCAGTATAATATAAGAGTAGGGTTAATTCTCATAAAAATGAGAATTAAAATTAATATATGGAAAATTAATTGTTATAATTAATTGGAAAACAACACCTCTTCCTATTAACTATTAATTTCTATCGAAATCGTAATCATTTGATTGATTTTTGAGCAATTATACGTGAAATAAAATAATATTATATTATTTATATTGTACAGTTTTGTCTCCATGTTAGAATAATACCTATATTTTAAAGGATACAACCAATAATTTTCTTTACAAAATTCGAGATACTATGAGAGATCCATACAAATATTCTTTTTAAAAATTATATGGTAGCTAAAAAAAGGTCTTATATAGAGCTCCTGTTTGCAGTTTAGTATAATATTGCTGTTAATAAATTTGCTCCAGTAAAATTTGAGCACTATATAATATGGCTGGTTCGACATTCTATGCGGCTTCCAAAAATTGCGAAAGCTTACTTTGCATATATATGGGTAGATCGGGCGCAGGTCACTTTCTTGTTTTCTAATCATTTTTCTATTACGGACAATACTATAAAATCGAATAAAATTGTTATAATATTAAAAAATTCAATTGAATTTGATTAATCATATACATATATAATAATGTTATACTTAATATACGTACTACATATAATTTCAATTTAATTGCCTGAAGTTTATTCAATTATTATGGACAAAACACTAAATTAAAATATTTTTCTTAAAGCTATATTAAGTATAAGATATTATGAATGTTCTATTTTAATTATAATAACCAATAATATTAATTTAAAATATATTTTAATTGAATTGTTTAAATGATTTGAAAAGGATAAAGGATAAGAATTCAAGCCTATAGGTACATTTGCGAAAAATAATATACAAACATCTATTTGTATGCAAGTGTTGAAGCATTAAAAATCCATTAATATTAAGAGTTAATAACATGACAGCTACTGTCATATAAATCATATTTTATTCTTATTATTAACTTAATAAAATTAACTTATACTCGTATATAGTCTACTCTACATACGAGTAATAAACTTGGCAATTATACGTGTATAAATTTCAGACAGACATTATAAAAATAAAAATTATTGCATTTTTAAAAAAAAATATAAGTTTAACAGCTTGGATAATAAAAAGTGTATTAAAACTTCTATACATGTATTTAAATTATGAATGAATTTTTTTTTGGTTATGTAGACAAAATTACAATATTAAATATTATTTTGTAAATATAAATTGTAATCCATTTTGTATAGTTTGTATAAATGTTATATGAGATTATTAAACTCAAAATTTTTGGTAGCAATCAATTGTAGATTTTTAAAAATACAACGAGAGTTTGCTCTATGCTTTGAGTATCAACAGGCTCCGAATTATAGAGAGTTAAAATCAATCACGACGGTTTTGCTTTTTACTATTTGCAATTTAAAGTGTAACTCCGTTTTTGAGTCAGATAAGCTCATGATAAAATATGAAAACAGCCAGATACCTTCATCCATGTTCATTAGGTAATCCAGTTTAGATTTGTAAATCTCCATGCTCTCATGAACTTTTCTCCTATACATTACTTTTATTTTTTTTATTACCTTTAAGTAATTTTGATCCGTTTCGTAAACGTATTTCGCAACCATTAAATTTAAATTCCTTTTAGTTCCTAGTTTACTTGCACGTTTTACCTCACTTAACTGTTCATTTAGTCTTGTTGTAGCTTGTCTGTTCGTTTGTCCTGTGTAAAATATGCCACAAGCTTTCTCTAATTTAGCAGAACAGGCAATGTTGTTAACCTCAAGCTTGAATTTGGAGACTTATTCAGTTTGTTATTCCAAATATTAGTAATTAAGAAACTTTTTCAAACATTGTACTAATATTTTTATTATACAAGCACCTCTTTTAAATGCAAATATAAAAAAATTTAACAACTTTTATATTTTGTCGCACAGCTTATTGTACTCGTAAATTCATATACCATCACAATAATTTTTAAAATTTATAACATGTGAGCTATTCATAAATTTTCCTATTCATCAACTATAACTGGAAAAACAAAAACTTTCAAGAACAAACAAAATGTCATCCTTGAAATCGAAAAAGGACAATTTAAAGTTGGAACTATATTTGAGTAAACTATAAAATTTTTAAAACAGATGATAAGAGGAAAATGAAAA